TGAATCTTTATTAAGGCAAATTCAACAAACGTGAAATTGTTACAAAAATGTAAAATATAAATATAGCTATGTACAAATATTATAAAACACTTTGATTGAAAAGACACCTATTTATCATAGTTAATTATGAAGAAATTTTTAAATCAGTCTCTTAATAGCCTGCGTAGCCAGGCGTTCCTCGCTTGTGGGTCCCAAGCCTCCCCAAACCCCACGAGGAACGCCTGGCTAGACAGGCTAATCTCTTAAAGGACGGTTTCTGATAGGTGGTAGCATGTCCTTGAGAACGTGTTTTTCGTTAGTACTGATTTCTTTGAACAGCTTGTTATCATGTTGACATTTAAATTCTGAGATGGTAATCTTTCTGTTGGTGTATCTAAATTTAGCTGCTCGTCTGAAAAACCTGTCAATTCGTTCATGATCTTTATCTTGTGACGCTGCCCCCCCAGACTTGTATTCCGTATGTAAAAAGTGATACAATCAGTGAATCGAATAGTTGTGATAGTTGCTTAGGGGGGTATCCGTAGGCTTTACAGTTCCTGATAATATATAGTCGACTAGAAGTTCTAGATAGCAAATTATCGATGTGAATGTTCCACGATGTTGACTTGCTCTGGAAGGTTATACCAAGTAGTCTAAGAGATTCTTTCCTTTTGATGTCTTGAAGTGGTTGCGGCATAGGCTTTAATGTGTTGCCGTGAATGACCATCGGCTCATTTGGTTATTTTTTGCCCAGCTTGCGATGTTATATAGTTCAGAAAGAGCAGAATCTTCATCATTTTTAACAGGGGCAGTCACTGTGATATTGTCAGCATACTTTACTAGCAAGTTGTTTCTTGGGCCAGCTGTACAGATGTCATTAACCATCAACGAGAAGAGGGTTGGTCCTAGGACCGTACTCTGAGGTACACCTCTGTTTATGTACACATAGTTGGTTGTAAGTCCGTCAACCACAACCCTCTGCTTACGATTGCTCAAGAAACTTATAACCAAGTTGATGATATATGGGTTGAGGTTAGTAGATTTGAGCTTTTCGATGACAGGATATTCTTGTGAGGAACAGTGTCAAACGCTTTGCTAAAATCAAATGACAAAACTCGTACGTGGTCCGCCTCTCCGTCTGATGCTTTGAGCCAGTAGTGTTGAGATCTTAGGCAATAGGGCCATAGTAGTATTACGTCCTTCCTTGAATGCAAAGGTCATTTCGATGACTCCATACGCTGAATGAGCACTAAATTCGCTTTTGGATAAAACCCTTTGGAGTTGTATTTACGAAAATGATAGTATAAGTGAGAAAGCAAGATGGGTTAGATGAAACCAGAATATGTTGCGATCCGAAAATAGTTTTATTAACTGGATAAGCGAAAAGGAAAATCAGGTAGAGCTGAAATTTCTTTTAAAATATACATATATATTTTGATATTATCCACATCCCACATATATAGCTCCCACATCCTATGACATCACCCTTTAGGCTATTCTAAAAATAGATATGATCTATCCGGAGGGTGGAGGGGGGGTCTGTCGGGAAGACTAAAAATAGATATGACCTATCCAGCTATCTGGAGGGGTTCGGGGAGATCGGGGAGTTCCCACATCCTATGACATCACCCTTTAGGCTATTCTAAAAATAGATATGATCTATCCGGAGGGTGGAGGGGGGGTCTGTCGGGAAGACTAAAAATAGATATGACCTATCCAGCTATCTGGAGGGGTTCGGGGAGATCGGGGAGTTCCCACATCCTATGACATCACCCTTTGGGCTGTTCTAAAAATAGATTTGATCTATCCGGAGGGGAGGGGGGGAGGGGAGGGTCTGGAGGATCGCTCCGGAGATGCTATCGTTATCAGAATGGCTTATTGGTTCTTAAATCCTATGAAGTCACGCTTTAGGCTCTGACGTCACTACTCCTAGTGCGATGAAGTCATCTCTAGGGCTGATCCGCGATCCGCCCTGATCGCGCCCGTTGCAGAACCCCTATTCTATAATAGCATGTGCACGCACTCCAATGTAAGATCAGCAGAAGCCCCCAAACATCTCTGCGCATGACCTTTCCCACACTTAAGTCTCGAGTTTTCAGATAGGTAATAGATCAAAAACGAGTGCGAGTGTTTGATCAGGGCATCCAAACACCGAGAAAAAGATGAAAGCACGAGGCCGTATCTCAAACTCAGTAATAATTCATTTGATCTTGAATTTTCTGAGACTAAAAAAGTGAACAGTGTTTTGATCAGTGCCTTGATCCGTTTTTGATCAAGTATCAAGGTRCGTGCACGTGACTACAATGCAAAGTCGCCATTGGTCATTGACSGCATGAATTATTAATGAGTTTTCAGACCTTGATCTTGCGTGAAGCTTGTCTTGTCTTTCAAGTTCCTCTGTCAAGTGCTGTCTCATCTGTTCGGCTTCTATCGCTTGAGTCTGTTCTTTGATCTGCTTGTTGAAATCGTCTCGGATATTTTGAAAGTTCATAACTATTTTCAACGTAGAAATGTTTGTAAATTAGGCTGGTCTTCAGGCAATTTTATGATATCAAATCTAGAGCGTGTTCCTGAGCGCGTCCAATAAATCAAAGATGCAAAAACTATGGATAGAATTTCTGAGAACGCAAACTTTAAACATTTTTAGTTGTGGACAAACGCCTCCAAATCCACGTTGACACTTGTTGCCACTTTGACATGTGTCACCTTTGTTTTCTTCTCTCCCCTCCCATCCCCCGTCCCCCCCCCC